GAATATGAACACAACCCACCAAGCTATTAAGATGGAATCCATCAGAAGAGAGAAAAAGGGGAAGGTATAAAAATAATACAAGGGGGGGGGGGGGGCTTAGATTTGGACCTAAAACAGATGGGATACTACACAGCTGTTTTGAAGTGGGGAAGCGCTCATATGACCTTAGCAGTTGCGAGCGCCGTAAAACCCTATACTACACACGAAGTGGGGACAACAGCCCTGGACAAAAGTGGATGGAGAGCTCTTGAAGGCAGCTCATTGGGCCTACTTCGACAAGAGGAGAGATAGGATGGGGATGATACCATCACGATGCATAATATTATGCCGTTTGGAAAAAAAATATAGCAGAACAGTTTTAAAAACCACAACAGTTTGCTGGTATGAAAAGTGTTCGCTGTTCTTACCTTAAATGATACAGTTATGCAACACGCACTGGTTTAATAGGTGAGGCAGCGTGGGGGGATCAGGCTCTCGTCAAAATAATCAAAATGAAGAAGCTTGCATTTTTCCGCAGGTTTGTGAATTTTTATTAAATTTTGTTTTTGGGCTCAACACCTTTCGTGTCCATTAAGGAACTCATTTCTGTGTGGATTTTTTTTTAAACGTTGATTAAAGACACAAAAAGTGTAAATTTTCAGTTATCACGGACTCTAAAGCTAAGGAACTAACTAACCTTATTGCGACCATTTTCTCACTAATTTTACCTCTGAGAACAGGTGACTCCCACCTCTTTCTTTAGTAAATATCTCGACTTGTATTCAAGATAAATGTATACTTTTTTCATCCAAATAAAGACAAATGAACAAGCTTTAAGATGATACCAATAACTTTACATGCCCAAAAATTGACGAGAGCCTGATTCCACCACGCTGCCTCACATAGGTATGCGACGATTTGTAAGATGCTATGACAATTTGTTCATCCAAGGCATTAATATTAACGTAGATCTAACCGTCCGTACAGAAAAAAAATTTGTAACGCAAAATATTCGGTTAACTTTTTTGGTATGTTTTAAATGAATTTTTAAAATATATGGTATTAGTTGTTAGTGTGGATTGTCACCTCAATACGAGTTTATGAATTTGCGTGAAGTATAGCCTGTCAAGATTTCTCCCTCTTCTTTGTTGTATATTGGTGTTACACACAAACCAGTTTTATCATACCGAGCCCATCAAGCACGCAAACTACCACAAGTGTGCTATAACTGCATGGGGCTAACTATCATAGAGATCACCTTTACCTTTATTAAATTCTGATGAGACTATTCAGCTAAAATCCACATAAAACCGGCGAGCAAAGGTTTACAGTAGGCCTTCAGAGAAAAATTATTATTCTTTCAAGGCCGCTTGGCTGCTCGACTTAGCCCTATCGGAAATAGATGTTAAATACATATGTGAGGCAGCGTGGTGGAATCAGGCTCTCGTCAAAATAATGAAGTCAAAGATATTGGCATTTTTCGACCCGTTTGGCAATTTTTATCAAATTTTTGTTTTTAAGCTCAGCAGCTTTTATTTCAATTTAAAAAACACATTTCTGTGTGGATTATCCCGAAAAACGTTGATTAAAGGTACAAAAGAGGTAAATTTTCAGTTTTCAAGGACTCTCACGCATTGAAAGATACCAAGCTGTGGGGGTCATTTTCTTCCTTATTTTTCTTCTGAAATTAGGTTACCCTACTTACTTCAATCATAAATATTTCGACTTCTATTAAAGATAGATGGGTACTTTTTTAAACGAAAGATAGACAAATGAACCGGCTTTAAGATGACACCAATAACTCCACATGCCCAAAAATTGACGAGTGCCTGATTCCACCACGCTGCATCACATCTGACTCTTAAATCACCCTATAGTACTGAAATAAGCATTACACCCTGAACATACTAGTGGGTGGTTAGCGGGTCTCTTGTGTGGTTTGCTCCTTTTTTCCTATCAAACATTTGTCGTCTATATATCTCTTCTCCTTCAAATCTTTGTATATTACTATCTAGTGACGTCTCTATTCTTTGACACCTATATAACCTTCCTGTGATGCAAATGCCGTAAAACTCTTAACTAAAACTAAACACAAACCAGAACATACCATACAACATGGTCTGAGCGCTCTGGATTCACGAGACACAAGAAAACAGGGGACGTAATCAAAATTATACTAACACACGCACACAAATGAGAGAATTATGTCCCATGCAGTTTGCAGTTTTTGAACAGCAGCAAGATCAGGACAGAACTGGCCACTGGACCCATCGTATGCGAAGACATTTGTGAGGCAGCTTGGTGGAATCAGGCTATCGTCAATTTTTGGGCATGAAGAGTTATTGTGATCATCTTAAAGCTTGTTCAGTTGTCTTTATTTGAATGAAAAAAGTATCCATTTATCTTGAATACAAGTACAAGGCGAGATATTTGCGAATGAAGGCGGTGGGGGTCACTTGTTTTCAGAGGTAAAATTAGTGAGAAAATGGCCGTCAAAGATTAGTTATTTCCTTAAAGTAAGAGCCCGTGGTAACTGAAAATTTACATTTTTGTGCCTTTAATCAACGTTTTAAAAAAAAATCCACACAGAAATGAGTTCTTTAATGGGCATGAAAGATGTTGAACCAAAAAACAAAAATTTGATAAAAATTCATAAACCTGCGGAAAAATGAAAGTTTGTTCACTTTGGTTATTTTGACGAGAGCCTGATTCCACCACGATGCCTCACATATTTAGACTGCAAAGTCAACAGAAAAATTAATCACAGTATGACCTATTCGGAAAGTTATATTCACCCTAGAAATGTTGATGCGAAGATTAACCTTTGACCAGCAGAAAGATCAACTGTACAAATGTACATGTATTTATTATGCTTTATTGACATACCATACTTTATTGATCATTTAAAGAATTTTGACCAAGCATGGGGTACTGTTTAACATTTTAGAAGAGCCTGACATATACAGAAAGGATTAAAGAATTATCAAAATAAAATGTTGTGCTTGAACCAAAGCTGTTGCTCGAATTGTGAGAGAGTACAGTGAATACCAAACGATTAAAAGAGCAGTTAGGCAAGGCTGCCTTATGTCACCAGATCTCTTTTAACATACGTGAGGCAGCGTGGTGGAATCAGGTGCTCGTCAATTTTGGGGCATATGGAGTTATTGGTACCATCTTAAAGCCTGTCCATTTGCCATGCTTTTGATGTAAAAAATATCCATTTATTTTCGATAGAAGTCAATATATTGACGATTGAAGGAGGTGGGGGTCACCTGGTTTCAGAGGTAAGACTAGTGAGAAAATGGCCACCTAAGTTGCATTATTTCCTTAGCTTGGGAGTCCGTGGAAACTGAAAATTTACAGCTATTATGCCTTTAATCAACATTTTTCAGTAAAATCCACACAGGAATGTGTTCTTTAATGAGCATAAAAGATGTTGAGCCAAAAAACAAACATTCGTAGAAAAATTCCCAAACCTGCAGGAAAATGCCAGTTTCTTCACTTTCATTATTTTGACAAGAGCCTGATTCCACCACGCTGCCTCACATATATACCAGGGGGGATATGAAAGCACAGAAGAAAGTTCCTGTCTCAAAGTAATTAGGAAAAAAATATTGCACATCAGATATTATAGCCTACTGATAACACAGTTTTAGTTACACAGTTGGGAAGTTGCTGCCTCTAGATATTGTTGGGACTGAAAGTGAACACCAGGGTTATTTTAAACCTAACGAAAACGGAATGCAAGAGAAGACATTTTTCCGTCGTTATCCGGATTCAAACCCCGGACCAATTGATTTAGAGACGAACACCTTAACTTCTAGGCCACGAGAGTCCCCGGAGCGAGTAGGTGACAGGCACCATCAGAACACACAACATTAGATCTATGCCGATTACCTTCTGAACATTCGCCTGACTGCAGAAAGACATGTGTGTAACTGTATCTCCCCGCGACGCCCATCGGTATCAGCGTTTTAAAACATGGACATTGACATAATGTCACCAATATACAAACACACGCAAATACACACTTGTTCATATATGTCATCAGGATACAAACAAACAAACACCATCGCACAGCACACATGCTCATAGAAAAATGTCATCAACAAACGCATACAAACACTCACTCACACACACACACACACACACACACACACACACACACACACACACACACACACACACACACACACACACACACACACACACACGTGAGCGTTCTCTCTCTCTCTCTCTCTCTCTCTCTCTCTCTCTCTCTCTCTCTCTCTCTCTCTCTCTCTCTCTCTCTCTCTCTCTCTCTCTCTCTCTCTCCTTACACACACACTCACGCACAGACCGAGATTCACGACACGCACACAAACTTACGCGCGCGCACACACACACACACAAACACCCCCCCCCCCCCCCCCCCCCCCCTCCACACACACACACAAACATACACGCATGTATGCATCCCTAATAAGCTAGGCTAGAACGAACAAAATGGGGGCGGGGACGCTTATTTTTCGTTTTACACCCCTCAGCAGGGGCATGGGATTTATCGGAAATTATGTGCATTCATGTAATAGCTCTATATTTTGTGACTCTAGTCAGGCATCTAATTAATTATTGGCCCAGCCTCCGGCCACAAGTCGCCACTGACCGCTGACGGAAGAGGTGAATAGCGAATAATGTTTCGATTTTTTACGGTTTTCCTGCTCCAACTTTTACATAAACTTTGTTTTCATTCGCAACGGATGTCCAATCTGAAAACTGTTCAAATTCTAATTTCGCAGTCAAGTTCATCACTGTTCAAAGCTGTTTATCCTCCGAGTATTTCTGCTGTAGTTGGACAGCATCGAAAATATTCGACTTATTTTATGAATATCTAATGTTTTTATGACGAACATCTCCTTCGCAAGGCTAAATTGCCGATGGATAGTTTCTGCATTCAATATAGGGATACTACCCCGAATGAGTAAGTGTACTGTATGCGAACGTAGGCTGAAAACGTAATTGTGCTTCCTGTTTCTCTTCAGTCTGAAGGCAAGCCCCTTTCGGTTGGTGTGGTGAACTCAAAGTGGTTGAAGTTGAAGTGAGAACTCATGGCGATGAGGGCTTTAGTTTATCTTTTGTTTTCTTTCACACTATGGAGTGTTTGTTTCTGTTCTGATTTTGATCTCACTGTAGATATCGCTCCTGGAAAACAAGAATGTTTCTGGCACCCTTTCCCCCAGTCGGTGGATGTGGAGGTGGATTATCAGGTACGTGTCTGTCGTCGTAGTCGTAGGGTAGGGTAGATCTAGGAAGGAGTCACTGATTAACCTACTTAATTTAGTCAATAAAGGTAGAAGTCTATTGGGGTGTTTCAGACGTAGAAGTAGAAGAGGATCATAGTGTAGACCCTCCTTCCTATCCTATTAATTTTCTGTATCAATTGTTAGTGTCAATGTTATCATTTTATGTGTGATAGATGTGTAGATCTACTTAACTTTTTTCTAGAGATCTAGATCTAGATATCTAGATCTAACTCTTGGCCTACTTTTACCTCTCATCAGTGTGTTTGTATACATAACATGTAGTTAAAACAGATGGCGAGGACACCTATCTAGATCTATCTTCTAAAATTGAAAGTTGCAACTGCAGTGACTTTTTACGGAAATTATTCAATATTCATTTTAAAAACGTGGTGACTACATTCAGGGCGCCGTGAACGTAGTTTGCAGGCTACGTTCACGGCGCCCTGAATCATCAACCATTGTCACAGAGGCACGACTGAAATGCTTCTGTCGCTCCTCAAAGTGAATGTAAATGAGGGAACATTACAACACAGGAATACTCGTGTGAAAAATAATGCAGCAGTAGTCCGAATGTAACAGAGTTTACAGAGGGCGAAGGCGAGCACAGCAAAATAGCCTCAGTCGACAAGGCCTCGCTGGCTCAGCGCGTGGAACATGACTTTGATCTTCCTCCCGTGTTCCCACCCGGCAACGCTTGACAATTTGAAGATAAAAATCGTTCGAAAAAACAAGGGAGAATGGAAAGAAGGCCAAGGCAGGAAGAGAGTTGGAAGTGGATGAAAAAAATCAAGAAGCGAAAGAGTAGGGGGTGAAGTGAGCAAGATCATTCTTAGATTGCGAAAACTACATTCACGGCTCCGTGAACGTAGCCGCTGTGTTTAAAATAAACAATGATAAATTGAAATATTAAATCACACACATCCTTGTGTGTTCATGCTAAAAAACTGAAAAAAATGCTTTAAATGCTTTACTTTGAACACTAGTACTAGTAGTAGTACTGCTACATTGAGTGAACCTTGTTTCCCCCAAACTCGAGCGCAACAAAACTTCAGACTCACCCATGTCAACGGGAGAAAGAATTTTTTGGTCTAATCAACAAAGTACCACCTTGAATTCACCACACTTGTGACTGACCTTGAAACCGACACTTTAACCATATTGTCCTTCAAGCAGGCCTGATTGATTGCATATGTGTATTATTCTCCAGTAACAAGCTGAAATAACTGCTCTTGTTAAGTTAAGAGTGTTTAGAACTGCGTTGAAGTTTTAATGCCCTCTGAACGCTTTGTGGTACAAACTCAACTGTTCATCTGCCCTGGTGATGCGTCTTTGTGCACATTTACAATCGCATCTCTATATATAAGAAAAGAAAATATATCTATTTTTTATTTTTAACTTTTTCTTTTGATTTGGGGAACTCAAAAACGCGCGCAGAAAAAAACTGATTGCGACAAGCACAGCTTTGCCACCTGACGTATGATGGACATGACCATGGCATTATGGTGATTGATCTTTCATGCTATATTTTTCTAACCTTGCTATCGCAGAAACCTTGGACTCTGTGAAACCAATTGCCAGACTAGAAATTTTGGATGATTGCTTCACTGATTCTTGTGACACTTGTATTTTTCCTATGATAAATATACTAGGAAATTGTGTAATTTTTATATTACCAATTTTCATTTCAATGAGATTCTCAATGTACATCTAAATTTTTTTAAAAAACAGGTAAAAGGCAAACTGTTAACACTTGACAAACTCAATCGACAAGAATTTTTTTTAAAAGTAGTAAAAAAAATCAAACACTCTTCGCATACTGGTACATTCATTTGATAAAAATTCAATTTCATCCCTCCCTCCCCCTCCCACTTTGTTATCAGTTGATGACCTAGTCACAATATTTCAAATGGTTAGGTTTTTTGTTGTATAGTGAAAGTGTGTGGTTGGCGGGTGCCCTGGTGTGTTTTCTTCTTTTTTCTTCTATCAAACATTTACCATCCTTATAATTTCTTCTTTTTTTAAGTTTGTCACTCTCTGGTTACACCTCTAATCTTTGGCACTTATACTTATTTATATGATGTAATTATGTTGCAAGTGCTGTAAATTGCTAACTCAAAACGTTTATATAAAAATTTCTTCGCTTTACTTCTCTTTTTGATGTGGGAGACTCCTCAAGAATGGGTGGCCATCTTCTAAGATGGTTTCATCTGTATGTTAGTCATTATAGGCCATCCATGTCACTATGATGTGATTGCGTCAATTAACTTTAAGTTTAAAATTGTCAGCTCATATGAAGAAAACAGTTTTAATTCCACACCAGTTCTTTTTCCACACCCTGTAAGTTAAAGAAAGAGGTAGTTAGTTATCGATTCTCCTCTCTAATGAATTATATTACAATTACAATATATTTTGTGGCCTTTTTGTAAGCTGACTACCAACTTTAGATTCAAATTAACTTTTTCCTGGCTTATCAAGAATTCTAATGAGCGTTAGATTATCCGTGCTAATGTTGCTGCTTGGCATTGGCACTTATTCCAACCAACCAACCAACCAACCCCCCCCCCAACTACCGCTTGTTTTTTCCACTCTCTACAGCTAGCTATGATTAAATTTCCAAAGAATCAGCCCAGTGGCTTATCGGGTGTCATATTTTTATTTGTTATTGTGTTCATCCTGCACATCAGGACCGTCCTGATGTCATTTTATTATTAACAACAACATGACTTCAGTTCGGTCCTTCTGTCTAGCCGCCCGCCAGATGTTGGTTCACACAAGTGTTCAAAAACTGTGTTATAAAGTTGTTATAGCTCATTGCCGAAGTTGTTTTGCTTAAAATTTGCTGTTCCTGTTGCTCAGCTCTCTTATCATATCAAATATATATATATGGTCGAAACTGTCTAAGACAGCCGCTCGTTGTTTGGAAAAAAGAATGACTGTATATGTCCAGAAATATGTTGAATATGGTGATGATATTGGATTTATCATTTTTATGTGAACCTGGTAGATTGCCGTATCAGTAGAATAACAAAGTTTCTGGTGTTTAAAAGTTTAAAATATTATAAAGGGCTGTATAAATTTATTCACATAAAATTATTATTATTGTGAGCAGTGAATGGTAGAGCTTAAGTTATGTGTGACCGGTGTCTGAGGTGTAGAAGAAGGTGCCTTGCCGTCCCGTGCGGAGCACTTGAGTTCAAATCCGGAGTTGGGAGAATTTTTATTGAGTATCTCTATCTCTCTGCTGGGATGTTGTATGTATCCTTCAAAACCCAGGTTGGCCGTGACAGTTAGGGTCAAAGCCAACTTCCTAAATTACCTTAACTGTGTCGGTGGGGGCATAAAAGCAGCTAGCTACATAAAAAATATATACAACTGTATTTAAAACCACTTGTTAATATTTCGTTTTGGTACTGAGACATAGAATGCATGAACTTATTCTTTTATGTTCTGTTTTTGTTTTGTTTTTTAGGGGGGTGGTTTTTTTTACTTTGTGAAGTGGAAAGCTTAATAATTAATGTCATTTGGCATGGAATGTGGTAATCGCTATACAAACCCAGTGTGATTACTATGCGAGATGAACGGCCACAGCATGGGTCCAGGCCGGTTTGTGTTGATTGTTGGAGCTTTAGAAGAAAAAAAAATCATTCATATTATTTACCTCAGCTTGAACACTGCCCTGGACGTGTGTGTCATTGGAACATGTCATTTTTATTATATTCTGAATCCTGTGTGGCCCCGGAACATGTAATTTTACTATCCTGAATTCTGACAACACAAGGTATTGATATTTTTTGTGACTTCCCAGACTCGGGTCTTCTTTTTCTTTTTCTTCTTCTTCTTTTTTTTTTTTTAAGTACGTGTTTTGTGACCCTTGCAACACAATTAGGTCATGGAAGTGCCGGAGATTAGAGGTGAGGTGTTACAAGACAGTAACAAAAACGAAAAAGGAGGAGGAGGAGGAGGAGAGATGAGGGCAATAGACGTTTTTGATGGGAAATAAGCGGCAAACCACAGCAGAGCACCCGCCAACCACCCACGAGTCTTCTTCTTAGCACCCGCCAACCACCCACGAGTCTTCTTTCTTTTTGCGTGCAAGCGTCTGGTGGGGTAGCGGTTAGGACAGTACGGTCTGGAGTATCTAGTCCTCCCTAGGTCCAGTGCTTCACTGTGGCTCGTAAGAGGCTCGAGTTCGATTCCCGAATGTGAAGGGAATTTTAATAATAATA